AAGAAGTACCCGCGCGTCTCCTTTACCGCGGATCCCGTATTTCACGCTTCCATGACGTCCTCGGTGTCACAACGTAGGCATCCAATTGGGGTCAGATCGTTTTTTTTTTTCAATCTTATTAGTGTGTCCAATCAATTTTCCTCCGTAGATAGCAGTGATTGACTCTCCAGAGTGTAGAAGCTACGCGTAGAAACCATAACGTGGCCCAGCACAGCGACGTTGTTCTTGTGAGCAGCGAAAGGCGCGATAAAGTTCATGACTCCATCAATGCATAGTGAGTGCATGCAGAGTCTACTAAGGGCCTGTAAAAAAAAAAAAAAAGAAACGCCTCGGGCAGGAAGGTACGACGACGAGGCAGGGACGGAAGGAAACTGCGGCGAAGCATCTCGGGCCGCGTCGCTTGGGCCGTTCCCGGAGGGACACGCGGAAAGGGCGGGGACACTCACGACGACGAGGGGGCCCGCCGGCACGCGCTCCGCTTGCGCCGCGCAAGGTCGCCCGCCTTGCGTACGCACTTTCCTCGCCTTCTCCGCGCAATGAGGCGCCCCGCAGTCCGCGTATAGGACGCACCTCGGGGGGCGAACGGAACGGGAACTCATTATCCGGAACGCGCACGCACGCTTTCCTCCTCTCTCTTGCTCTATTCGTGAGTGTGTTTGCCTTTTTTTATTATCATCACCACCTTTCTATCTCTCTTCTTTCCTCTCTAAAGACGCGGGCCGAGCGGAAGCAGTGGAGCGAGCCAACGACAAAAGAAGCAGATAAAAAGAGAAGGAGAAAGACGGGCTGGAAAAGCAGCAGCAGACGAAAAGGAAAAGCAGACGAGGAAAAGAATAAAAAAAGGACGTGGCAGACGGCAAGAGTTCCCCCACCTGCAAAAAGATGCATTTCAAGAAGTTGGGTTGAGAGTTGGCGAGACGCGCCCGGGAGAGGGCACTTTTCCCACGCTCGGTTCAGCCAATGGGCGTCGAGCGATCGTGCGACGGCCATTTTGAATTGAGCCAGTCTTGGTGTTGTTGTTTTTTTGCCGCTGCTGCCGCTGCTATGATGTGTACTGCTGTTGTGCTGGACCCTCAGAAAGAAGGGGGGGGGGGGGGGGGGGGATCCTTTTCCTCTTTTTTTTTTCTTTCTTTTTTGTGGCTCTGGCATGTGTCGTTCGTAAACGGCTTGCTCCAAGACCTTGCTATTTTCTTCTAATATCTCGTCGTACTTTCTTTACTTTTTTTCGGTAATACTTTTTTTTTAACGTATTTTCCGTTTGAACGTTGTTCACTCACTGTCGTCTATTGCTGTTATTGTTGTGCTCAAAAAGCGTGCCTCCTCCGCGCTAGGGGAGTGGTTGGTTGCCTTGAAGACGATGCAAACGCGGTTATATCACTCGTGCTCTAATATTTATTATGTAATGCACCGCTCCATCTCGTCACTTTGATCTAAATTTGTAATATTATTCAACTATTTCTTCCGTCAAACATGAGGTTTTTCTTCGTGTTGATTTTTCCTTGACCCTTCAGCGTCTTGAGATCGGGAAGCTCGTAGTCCAAATAAAAAGGCCGAAACAAATTAAACATCTGCGCCCGACTTCGTTGAGCGCGCATGTGTGTGACACGATATTGCTCAGGTATACATGTTGGCCTAAATTGAAGGCACATTCATTCCATCGAATGCGTGGGGAAAAATATTGAAAAATAATGAAAAAAGGATGGTTATAGAAGGTGCCTTTGGAGATTACACTGTAAGTTCGAGCATCAATATCTCTTAATTAGGATCTTGTTGGATCTGCCGATGCTGGAGAGGGACTACGTATTTGACCCAAATTTTGTTGAAAAGGGAGATGTATGTATATTTCTCCATTTAACTTTTTCCGTTCGTTTCAAAGGGTGGGTGGGCGGGTGGTTGAGAAGGCCAGGAGGTGTGACGAAAGCTCGTTTAGTAAGAGAGGCACTGTAGTGTAGGGCATAAGAACGTTTCGTTCTACAAGAAGTTGAAAGCTAGGCGATGATAATGTGGATTGGTAGTGTATGTGAGTGCCCTATGTTCTGGACTTGACGAAATAAAAACAAAATGACCAAAACCTAAGGCACACGCTTACAGTAGTGTAGTGGGTTCCGAATTTTGGTGCGCCACGATGCGAATGCGGAATCCTCCATTCAGAGGGAAGTGAATTTAATGCTCTTTGAGCAAACGCAGGAAAACGTTAATGATCTAAAGGTTTAGAAGTGCAGACTCGGGGTGTCCCTTGATCTAGAAAACACTGCTATTGCATACACGTCGTTGTTAGCAGTGTGTGCGGACGCACTGCATTATTTGTAACCTCACTCAACATGGAGCAGGTGCTAAAGCTACTTTTAGCGCCGTGGGGCGTTTTTGTAGGTACTCGAGGGGACTTTTGTGCTAGTGACGAGTTATTTATATTTTTATGATCTATCACCTTTATGTTATTTACTTGGATCACAGAAATGAGCCCGAGAGCCGTTGTAAATCAGCTATTTCCACATTAAAGTTTGCTCTCGTACTCCAGTTAGCTGTGATTGTGCCTAAGATTCTGCCAGTCACAGGTTGTTTGCGGTGTTCGTGGTGCGAGCATAGTCAGATTTGGCGGGGGCCAGAATCTTCTAACTCGATCCACAACCCAAAATTACTCTGTTTGCTCGTGGCAATTATGGCATCGAGACATCTATATCATAATTACTTTTTTCTCGACAGGGTCGTTTACACATGATCCATTGAAACGAAGAGTCAGTGTCCGCGCCCTTCGTAGACAGAATTAACTGGAACCAGAATTTTTTTTACTCGGTCTACAATCCAAAATTACTAGGTTTGCTCGTGACAATTATGGCATCACGACATCTGTGATAATTACTTCTTTTTCCTTTCTAGACGGAGTCGGTTACACACGATCTGTTGAAACAAAGATGCGGGGCCGGGAACATTATTCGAGTCGGTGACCACGCTTTCCTCGACTCGGGCGTCAAATCTAGTACATCGAAACGGATGGGCCGCGCGCGTAACAGCCATCTCGTTGACTTGGAACGCAAACTGCAGTCCCCGGCACATCGCGCTAAGCTACGGACGCGTCGTCGACACGCTTCCAAGCAAGCCACGCAGTAGCGAAACAAAAGAGACAATGAAGAAAAAGTGGCGGCTTGACATCGCCGCAACGTAGGGCGGGCGTGGAGGAGCATCTTTTCTCCTTACGTCACGTCATCATAACGGGGGCCTGAAAATGGACCAACTCAACTCAGTGACGTAACGCCACGGCGGTGGCGCTGCTGTTGGTACTGCGCATGCGCAGGCGCTTCCAACCTCCCGAATTTGGTTTCTGCGCACTCGCTGTACCCACACCTGGTGCGGGCAAAGCGGGCTTGTTTGTAGACACTGTGCTGGCGTATACGCTTTTTCTGTTTACAAACACAGGCCGCCTGTTGGCTCCCGAGCGGTCGATTCGTTTCGGCAGGCTTTCTGAGCTTGTTAATGTCAAGATATTACGAAGTTGGGGATCTAGCGAGTTTCTTTGTGCTGTGCTATTCAACGTACAAGAGGGGATTCGTCATCTTACAGGAGCAATGAAAAATTTCCAACAAATCTCTCGCTACTTGATCCTTTAACTACCTGGAGAACTGGACATAAAATATTTCATGAACCTTACAAAAAGCGGCGGAATCGTGGCGATTGTTAGTCCTCTCATATGACCGGAAATTCGCGGGGACGTAAATTAATAACAGTGCCTCCTTCCGACGTTTAAAAAAAATTAAAAAAAAACATAGCACTGTACACTGTTGCATCAAAAGCACTGCAGGGTGGAATTGGGGTCACAACAAACAACGACCTGATCAAGCACATCAAACATTACGCAAAACGTGTTCTTTTATTTTTTTTAATAGTGAACGACAGGTTTGGAGAAGAAAAAGGCGTCGCAGACACCGTTCCTGGATTACCTCAGTGGTGGAACTTTCACGGAGGGGGGTACCCCCCTCCCCCCTCCTCCACTTCAGTCCGTTTCCCGTACTGCTCGGGCAAGCTACGTCTATGAGCAGTTCAATAACTAAGGTAATCTAATAACGTTCGCTGCGGGATGCTCAGTTTTTCCGTGACGTCAGCAAAGTGGCGCATTCGTAATCAGCAAAAGGGACGTCACTCAGGCTCGGAACGAAAGCGCCTTTGAAACGTGTTTTCGCTTTACGAGTGTTCGCGCTAGAAAGGCAGCTTTCAAAGCAAGGAGCGCGAGCTAGCTCGTCGTTTTGTTTCCTCGGATGGATGAACTGTTGCGGTTTGCCCTTTATAGAGGGCGGTGGCTGGCGCCACTTCAACTAGCTCGATATGAGCACACGGCAACGTTGTCAATACAAAAATTGAAGAAAAAAAAACGCAATATCATTTTTCGCAAACCTCTAAATTGGTAACGGTTCGGCGCCAATATCTAAGAGAACAACATAGAGGAGACACCACGCTCAACGTACGGGACGAACCATGGTCAGATCGCGCTTGCCGCTTACTACGCAGCCGTCACATAACCTTCTGTGACAGCGGCCGAAGGGGGGGGGGGGGGGGGAGGGCGCATCGGAATGACGCGGCGGAGCGGCCATTCCAACAGACCAACGTCACAGACACGAGCACGAGCTGTCGTCTCGCAAACGTCGGTCCCCGTCTGGCACGCACACGGACAACAACACGCACGGGGGCCACCCGAGCACCGGGAAGGGGGGGGGGGGGCACGCACCGGTGTTTTCTACAGCTTTCTTCTCCCGGGTCCCCCCTCCCCCCGCCAAGAGGAGGAGACGGAACGCGCGCGCCGCGTCGCTGCAGCGCGGAGAAGAAAACGCAGCAGCCCGCTTCGGAGTGTGGGAACGCAGCATCTCGGCGATTCTCACACAGGGGTCTTGCCCGTCGAGTGGAGAGAGCGGCGGCGGGGGGGACCGGAGGGGGGCGAAGGAGGCAAGGGCACGGGAAGGGGGCGCGCGAGGAGGCCGCCGCTGCGTGATCCGATGTGGGCGAAACCGAGCAGAGGCGAGGAGGGGGAACTGCTGGCCGCCGCCGTGGCTGCTGCACGCATCGTTGACCTCAACTATAAATGCGTAGTGCGGTGGAATGGAAATCGCCGAGAGGAAAGGGGCGGCGGGGCGTCCAGGGAGGAGGAGGAGGACTCGAAAAATGAGCAAGTAGAAAGAGGGGAGCGCGTCGGCGCGCGCGTCTATCTTGCCGAGGAGGGATTTTGTTTTTTTCTGGCGTCCTTCTTCTTCCTCCTTTCTTGCCGTTGCTCGGAGGCGCTTTGCCGGCCCTCGGAGGGGCGTCGGAGGAGGAAGCCCGCCGCCGGGTCGCAGGGGGTGCGTGCGTGCGAGCGTGCTCGGCCGGCGCGTCGCGCGAGCCTCCGTTCCCACGGTCGCTCGGCGGCCGCTCTTGCCTCTCCGCAGAGAAAAAGGGGGTATAGGTAATAGGAGTCAGCCGCGGAGCAACGACAGCGACGGCGAGGAGGAAGCAGCGTGCGCGCCGCCCGCAGCCGGTGGCTTTTGAAAGCTTCCCCCCCTCCCGCGGGAAACGGGGCGGCGGGACAGCTCCGCTGCGTGTGAACGCTCCTGCACGCGGCTGCCGAAGACCACGCAGGCTGTACCTGCCGCCGCGACATTCCGTTAGGGAGAGGAGGACCGGTGTCCATTCCGAGTGCCTGCCGATGGGCCGGGGTTACCACCTCCGCCGCTCCGCGTCGAGTTGAGTTGGTTCGGGGACTCCGGTGGGGTGGGTGTTCGTGTCGCCGCCGCAGCTGTGTGCCCGTTGCTCGTGCGCGTGTCGGGAGGCGAGCTGGATCTGAAAATGACGACGACACCTTCGCGGCTCACGCCGCCGCCGCCTCCGCCCGTGCTGGGCGGTCAGTTACCGCCGCCACTTGCGCTGGCCTCGCTGCCCGGCCGCTTCGGCATGGCTGGGCTGGGAGCTCCCACGACATCGGGGCCGGGACCGATAATCGGCAGCGCGAATGGGCCGACGCCGTCCGCCGAGCGGCCGCCGACGCAGTCCAGGGCCAGTGAAGTACGCAGGGTGAGTGGCTTTCTGTTTCTCGGCGGCAGAGCGATACACCTGCCTGTTGCGGAAGCTACCGCCCAGTGGTGACGACTTCCGAAGCCTTTTTCGTGCGCGGTGCTTTTGAAATAAGCTGCTTTAAGATCTCGACGGGTTAATAGCTTAATTAACTCCTCGACTATCGCTTTCGAGGAACGAAATGTGGGCATATGCTTTACCTCGAAAACTTCCCAAAATATGTCACTACAAGCATTATTAGAGAAATTCTGACCAATATTACGAACGAAGGTGGAAAGACTCGTTGATCGAGCTGTAATGAATGCCTTGTGCATTAGTCCCTCCGTCGTGTTGAACTCGAAGGTACTGCACCTTCCAAGTGTCGCGACGTTGACCGTCGAACGCATCAGACCGTTGCATTCATGGAGTCCATGTTCCTTTTGATACGAATTCAGCTTTGGGAAGTAATTTCAACCTGTTATAGAATCCCTATCTAACTGTGAGAGCCAGGTCTGTTAAAACTCCCTAGAGCACGCCTATTCTTCTTTCTCTCTTCTTTTTGCCCAAGTTATTGAGTTAGTTTAGCTGTTCCTTCGGATTCATAAGGGCGCTACCACACATCCGGTATGTTATTCCATCTGACGTTTACACCTTTTGATATTATTTCCGTTTTCATCACTGAAGCGTTCGTATGTAAAGCTGCATTAATAGACCGACCCATTCTTCATAAGTTAACGACTTTGCCCACAGCAGCCTCCGACGAAGCACAACTCCAAGAAGTTGGCTTCACCGCAATACGCGCTGTCTGTGCCGGGAAGCGCGCTGCGTGTGGTGGAGCCACGTTTACTTTGTCGTCAGGACCTCGTGACCTCGTTCTATTGTGCGACTAGCAACAAACCTTTTTCGGAGACAAGTCACATACACTTCCTTAAATTTTTCATTTTTTTTTTATTTACACTTACAGTGGTTACGAAAAGTAAAAAAAAAAAAAAAAAAAGAAAAAAAAAGCGATGCTCTAGGACATATTGAGAAAAACAGAGCTTGTTTTGTCGCGAGCATAAAAATGGATGTTTCTCGCGCTAGTGAAAATAGAAACTAGGCCATTTTGCTTTTAGGAAAATGACGCGAATACAATTGGCGAGAAAATTCATATTTAGGTAATAGCAATGGGGACTGGCCGCTTTACAAATGGTGGCGCCCCTTGTATTCATATGCTCAAGTTAGGGTAGCGTTAGACCGTCGTCGGAACCAGTTGTTTTGTGACCGCTCCACGCGTTGAGTTGTAATTTATCCTGGTGCCCGTCTACCCTTTATTATACATTTATATTTGTTCGCGCGTAATATTATCTTGGTGTTATATTCCTGCAATACAATTTGCGCCAGTACTTTAGTCCTATCTGATCAAATCTTCGTACGAAGAACACACTTTTTGAGTCGGTAAATCGCAATGCAGAAGTCATACCGCGACTTCCAACAAGAACGCCATTGGTTGTCGCTATGGTCACATGATCGCTTACGCCAGCCAATGGGGGTGAAGCGCCACCCGCTGCTGTGGTGATAATAGCTTCTTCACACAGTGCATCGTTTCAGCGCGCCACGGTTTAGCGAAATATGCTTGTTCACACGTGGAGTTTGACGCGCGAAACCTGTGTCACGTATTGACTCACGAGCATTTCGCCAAACCTTGTCATCTGCACCGGGAACATGAAGCGTTTCGCATCAAAACTATAGACCTTTTCCGCAAGGGCGCCGCCATCTTGAATTGTCGTCACTTCCAGTATGGGCGAAAACATTGTTTTGCCGTTGCCACGCCAATAGAAGGCATTTAGGACATAAAGGTAACCGTCACACATTCTCGTTTTGCCTCCGCTTTATTTTTTTATTATTTGCAGGTTGAAACGTTCTGATATTTTTTCGTCGCCCATACCGGATATACTTGGCGGTCGGGGGCGAGAGTAAGCGGAAAAGGTCTATATGAAGTACGCACTATGTGAAGAGATAGTCTGCTTTATAAGTACTATTCAGTAAACTTCGTAAGATTCGGCCCACTGGGTTTACTAGTCCTGCCAAACCCGGCACGCAAATGTCAAAGAACAGGCGGTGGATCTCGAAGCATTTCGGGCCATTTTTTGCACCGCTAGAAGCCAACCTGTACTGCTAAAGAGCCGTTCACACACTTGCAACCAAGTAGGACCAAGACTTAAGGCCCGTTCACACTCTTGCAACCGAGTACGACCGAGAGAGACCAGACCGGTTTTTAAGCCTTTTGCGACTTCTTAGGGCCGGATGCGCGGTCCTAAGAGATCGTAAGAGGCTTAAAAACCGGTCTGGTCTCTCTCGGTCGTACTCGGTTGCAAGAGTGTGAATGGGCCTTAACATCGCCCGTACGCCCGTACGCACCGCTTCTCCGCTTGTCGCTCGCCGCTATGTTTGCTTTTCTTCTTTCGGCTTTGACTCCGATACGGAATAGGACAAAAATCAAACTCCTCCAAAAGCTCGCTCTGCCTCGAAGGCCATTGGCATCTTACTCGTTCTTCCTCCAGGTGATTGACAGGCCTCGGTGAGGTTTCAGCAAAAAAATTGCTCCAGAAGCGAGAAGCACACGACACGTTTTTCGGAGGCGCGCAACTTTTTCGGTCACGTTCACAAGGGGTATCTGTTTCCCTAAACCTAGTTTTGTGACGTAAGATTCGTCAGCAAGATGCATCGTGTGAATAGACCTTTAGTAGACCTTTCCGATGACTCCTACAACGATACCCGATACTCCGCCGCCGCCTTCGCTCATGCATCATATCGTTATCGCGTATCGTTATCGGGGATATCGAAGCTATCGAAATGATATGCTAAAACTCTACAACTTTGTTGGGTCTAGTTGGTTCATATCATTTAAAACGTTAAAAAGCACGAACTGAAACGTTGGTCCTTGTCGTACGTCTTTCTTAATTCGTCCGCGTTTCAGTCGTCGCTTTTTAACCTTTTAAATAAATTCTAAAACTCCCTGCTATCGCATGACGGTCACCAAAGTTTGATATATGCAGAGTAAACCAAGTCCTCCAAATTGGGTGGGTGACGTATGGACCTCCGAATTTGAAGTATTTAGGGGGTCACGTGATGATCGTAGTCACGTATAGTTATCTCATGATGGTGACTACTTCGCTTCTAGCGCTTTTCAGTGTCGCTTTTTTTTTTTGTTTTTTTGCTTCATAGCCATTTTTGTAACGTTCCATTCCGATATCAAGAAACTCCTATGTCTCTCGACTGATCGTCAAACTCCCCCCCCCCCCCCCCCCCCCGCCCCCCCCCCCCCCTCCCCGGACTCGTCATGTATGCAGTAGAGCGGCTAGAGACCTTGAACAATAATGTGAATATTGGCTCATAGTTATGCATCAGTGGAAGGGACGGTCGAGGAAATATGAGAGCTCGGGGTGCTCTGGGACACTCCTTAGAATTCAGTTTGCGAATACCTTGATTTGAGGCAGTGGCTGTACGGATCGCTAGAAAAAACAAACCCTCAGTTACATAAAAAAAATTATCTATTCGCTTTACAATTTGCTAACAGAGAACGGAGATAATGAACCTGTGACGTCACGTGCATGTCTATAATAGAGATCGCGCGTGCGGTATACCGTAAAAGAAAAATTCTGATTTTTTTAATTCTGAGAAGTAAAAAAAAAAAAACGCGCTTCGTTTTGCTGAACCCGACAGGAGATAAATGCCACTTTTTAGGAAAGGAAAAAAAGAAAAACGAGAACATTCGGAACTGTTTTTTTTTTTTTTTACCTTTTAAATTTGGCATACTTCTCGGAGCACCTCAGAACTGACCCTAGAGCAGTGGTCTCAAACTCATTTGAGCGTAAGGGCCAGATAGCCCACACCGCAAAGGTCGAGGGCCAGCGGAAGACGGGGAGAAGGGGGGGGAGGGGGGGGAGGGGGTTAAAAAGATGTTAAAAAGAAAAAACCTCGCGCTCCATGCTTTCTCTAAACTCACAATTTTGCCAGCGACATTTTTAGATTTTGATTTGTTTTATATGAGTACTTTGGGCCTTAACCTGATGTGATTACAAGAATTAAAAATGACACCGTCGGCGGCCAACGTGCCGGCGTTTTAAGAGAACAAGACAGCAAGTACACTTTCGTTCCCGTTGCTCATTTCGCACAAGAATTAATCAAGCTCAACATGCCTGCAAGAAAACAATCAGTTACTTTGACAGTTCTTGCTTTCCTGACAATTTTAATAAAACACTCTAAACAAATGCTTGTCTTTCAATGGTGCTATTTTTTTAAGGCGAGAATCGAGTTTGTAGCTTTATCCTAAGCAGTTGCTCCTGCTTATCGAGAATTCGCGCAGCCGAGATGCGTTTTTCAACGAAGAGCTCGCGCTTGAAGACTAGCAGCAGAATTGTTGGATATTATAAAAAGCTGGGAAGCCAAAAATAATGCGAAACAAGGGGAAAATGAACACAGATAAGTATAAACTCGTGAAAAGGAACAGAGCTACTTTTCGAGCAAAAATGAGTCGGCGAGATGAGATCACTATGGCGCATGACATTTCTATCGCTCGAGACATGGGAATCGGGACTCGTACCCGGTAGCCTGCAGGCCGCATCCCGTGCCAAGTCTTTGAGACCCTTGGTCCTCTTCATCCTATAGCATCAGTGAATATTCTGCCTTTTTAATTTCTCTCTCTCTCTCTCTCTGTTTCTCTCTCTTTATATATACGCCCACTACCTACCTCTAGATGGTGCCAGTTACCGCCCGACTCTTTGTTGTGCCGTACCTACCCATCCATTTATTGCATGGGACTCCGCGCCACGCCGCCATGCTGCGCCTCGGTACCTTTTTGCGCTCGTTCAGTTTCGCTTGTATATACGTTGTGGGGATCTCAGTCTCCACAACGTAAAGAGAGAGAGAAAGAGATTGCGCTTTGACCTTTTGCGGTACCATAAGATCTGGCTCGAAGATTACGACTATGCCTTGTTCGCGGTTAAGAACAGCAGAATAAGCTCCTCCCGCTAAGCCCC